CCCCCCCCCCCCCCCCCAAACCCAAGACCAAACACCAAACCCTAAGCCCAAAATCCCTACGCCCCTAAGCCCACCCCCTCTACATCTTTAAACCCTCAAACTTGAACGCCCCTAAACCTAGAACCAAATCTCCCTAAACTTCCTGTCGCTTCTGCTCCAAAAAGACTCCTCGCTAGATCAGGAAGCGATCCAAAGTGCCGCCAGGATCGCCCAGGCGCAAGACGCCGAACGTCCATTCTGCAGCCATCGTGCGCTGAAGACTGTCGCTACAGACATGTCCTGCATCCACGGGGCAAAAACAGTGCTGCAGGCACTGTGGAGGCTGGCTGGTCAGGAGCCATCAACTCCAACAGGAGGCTGTCGGGAGGGTTCGTTTTTGGCAAAACACAGAGGGCAAATTTGGCAAACGGAACCCATTTGGCCTGGTTGCGGGTAGCAGTATAACGAACCAGCGTGGCAAGGTTGAGCTGCAGCCGTCTCAGCGCCAGCCGCTCCAGCGCAGACAGAGAAGATTCACTCCCGCCTGCGGGCAAGCACCTAAGAGGTGCACGTCCTTTTTGCTAGGCAGGGAGATGTTTGGCAGCTGTTCTTCCGGTGCTGAGTACGTAGACTTCCAAGATTGCACCATGGTCTGACGCTTTGTCCCTTGATGGCCTCTGCAAAGAGCTCCGCTTAATCACGCAAATGCCATCGACAATTCAGCGCGGTCATATGCCACGGACCGCCTGTGACTTCAGCGGCGTCGTCGTGCGCCTTCTGTTCAGCGGCGGCCAACAGATTGCGTTCCCGGACCCTGCAGCTGTAGCTCGGCCCACTCCTCGGCGGTGAGTTCCTCCTGCCATTGCCGTCTGGGTTCCTTGAGGAAGTCGGACAAGGTACTGGCATCACCCGCACTGAGCTTCGGGCTTCACAAGGCTTCAAAGGGGGAGTTTCAGGGGTTTGAAAGCTTCGTGCTTGCCTAATTGCAACCCGTCCCGCCGCCCCCTTCATCATATTATCAATATGCCACCCGCTCTGCGAGCTCAGAATCAGATGTAAAACAAATATTATACTTGTTGTGTAACAAAACTAGAAGATTTCATACAATTCTTTGCGATACATGGAATTCAGGTTGGAATTTCTTGTACATAAAAAATATTACCAAAAGTTTTTCAAGATTTATCGAGATTTTCGAAAATGTAGTCTTTACGAATTATGTTGTTCATGGATTCTGGCTGTATATCTTTTTCATGTTTTTGTATAATTTTGAATTTCGTTCATAACAGGTACCCCGCCTTCGCCAGACAGCATCGCTCCAGCGTCCGGACACCCGAGTCCCGTCGCTCTTGAAGATCTCAGCACTGTAAGCAGGTCTTAAGGTTTGGGGAATGACGTTCGTCATGCAAGTTCCTATGCTGGTATGGAACTATTATTCGATCCACGGAAACACATGCACACCTCAAAGATGACATCTGTCTGGGCAGATGCAACTTCACATCAGTGATGTAGTTTATTATTCATCCATATGCACACAACCATCTACCATGTATGTCGGTACACAAGTGCAGCGCACATTCACTCATCAATGCAGACAAGCCTAAGCCGATGTATATCTGCGCGTTCGTACTTACACAGACATGTCTACGGAGACAACATAACTATTCACACCGTACATGACTACGTCGAGCCCAAGTGTTTACCTGCACAACACGTCTTGCATGTCGCCCTTCATGCAGACCTGGGCGTTCTCGCCATCCTTGTGGGCGAAGGCGAAGTTGTCCACATCGATGGCCGCCAAACGCCAGTTTCGAGTTGGACGAAGCGATCCCCCCACCCTGGAAAGTGAGCGTCCCTGCCTTCCGTCAAGGGAACGACCAAAGAATGCTTCTGTTGGTGCTTCATGTTTTTTTGCGTAGAATGGAAAGGCTTCGTCCAACAAGGTCCCGGGAGCATTCACCATGTGCGATCTCTCCGATGCTCGGGCAGGTCCATGTCGCCGTGCCTCGAGTAACCAAGTTGCCCCAAGTTCCATCGAGACCGTTGCCCGTTCTACGTTCGCCGTTCTGCCTCAAGGTCCGTGCGGAAGCAAAGATGCTGTTTGTGAAGACATGCCTTTCGGCCCGCAAGTTTCCTCAACAACTTAAACAGCTGTCTTGAATAAACCCAGGCACGTATACACTTCAACGGCGCGGTCTTGATTGCCGTTGTGCATCAGGGCCAGGTACTGTTGAAAATTATCTCCAAGTCGGAATGTGCCAATCTGTATCCACCTCACTGCAGGAGCCAGATGTCTCGCTCGGATCTATGCGAAACCCTGGCACTGGCATATGTGCTGCAAAGATTTGAGTGTTTTAAGTGTGCAAATCTATAAACAAACAGACAGAAGGAGCGAGAGCGACAGAGAAGAGAGAGAGAGAGAGAGAGACAGAGAGAGAGAGAGAGAACGAAAACAAGAGAGAGCGAGAGAGAGAGAGAGAGATACAGGGAGAGAAAAACGAGAGACAGAGATTGAATAGAGATGTATTCGTAGACATATGCTCACATCTGGACCCAGGTGTGCGCATGTGCAAACACAGCACCTGCACACATGAGCCTGCGATAACTACAATTTGTACGGTCATGCACTGCGCAGCAGACCACATTCCTCCCACATGGAAGAGCTACAAACTAATGAAGACACCACTATCATGATGAGATAAGGCCTCTGCACAATCCCAGGTTCCCCCAGCTCAATACCAAGAAGCTTGTCTCCAAAACTGATGCCCACCGGAGCTCCCTCGGAACGGTCCAGGACATTCCCATAATCCTGGTCGCAACCAACGAGACGAGATTCTCACCCAAAGCTTCTTGGCCGAGTACCTGAGATGCCTTGAGTATTTTGAAACCCTGGTTCTGCTGTGCCAGGAGTAGCAGGCACTTCAAGCTATGCTCATAGAGAATTTGGCCTTGAAGTGCTTTAAACCTGCCGGGCAGCCTTGCTCGTTTCAGATTCGCTGTCCCAGACCATCGCAGTCTTCCGGGTAATTGTGTGCCTCTGTGGAGACTCGCGGCAACACACTGCTCTTGCCGCTTGTTTGCTGTCGATAACAGTACAACTTTCATCTGAATCTATGTCCACTACATTACTGTCGTCATTCCTTCTGTTGTATGCATCAGCATCCATCTTCTTCACCATCATGATCAGTAGTCAGTCTGGTCACGAAAAGCATAAATGCAGTGTACATGAGTAAAAATCGGCCCCGGCACGAGATCGCGAAGTGCTCTTCATCGACGGCCCCGAGGCGGAAGTTGCCGATCTGGACAAATTGGTAGCCGAACTTGATTGTGTGGCTGCGCCCCGGACTCCTTCAAAATTCTGAGCCAGGGACCCTAAACCCTAAACCCTAAAACCCTCAACCCGAAACCCTTGCCACCTCTATAAGGCTTGGAGTTTAGTGGTCATTGCCGCGCGTTCACACACCGCCACTCTAAAGATCCACTGAGCTCCGTGCCTCGTCGTCCAGGCATCGTGCCTGCTCCAACCATCTCTCCACCCGTCTTCGGCAGACCCGTCTTGATGCCATATCGCAGCGACCCTTCCGTCCTGAAACAAAGTACTTCAGCAACAGGGCAGGCTCAAGGGCTGGAAGGGCTGGAGTGTGAAAGGTCCTTGTGCGAGATCGCCAGGAGGTCTTCACCGTTGTCCACCGACTCAGCAATGCGAAAGTCGCCCAGCTCAATGAAGCGGTCCCCCATTTTCGGAATGATGGAGGGGCATCCAGGGGCATTCTCTTCTTGGCTTATAGCCGGCGAGGAGACTTGTTCCGGCGGCACCACCTCGACCTCGGACTCATCCGGTGGGTCTCGGCCGGCGGCCTCACACCCGAGCTCTGCGGCGCAGGGGGCCTCCGCCAGATTCTCCGGTGTCGACCAAACCTCCTTGCAGAAGAGCTTCAGCGGCTTCAGCAAGGAAATCGGCTGGAAGTCCCACTTGAGGCCCAGTTCGGGGATAAGATTGGCGAGAAGGTCACCTGCATCCCGGGCCGCTTTCCGGACTGCTTTCCGGATCGTCTCATCGAGTGGATTGCTGGGCCAGCAGCTGCCCCTCAGTTGTTGTTCGAGCAGGGCTTCTCCACCTGGGCGCTTTCATGCACTTGAAATCTTAAGTTCCAGCCCCCCCCTTTGAGGATCTTGACTTCTATCTCCGCTGAGGGAAACCCCGCCCCCGCTGCACGAGTAGAGAGCCACCTCTTACCATGGCGTCCCGGATCTTCTGCATGAGAAAGTCGTCATTCATTAGATCCTTCAACCACTCCGGGAGACCGAAGCCGTCGATTTCAAAGTCCGTGTACACACTGACGGCCTCAGTGTCGACTTTGCTAGGGGTCTCTCAGACACGTTCCCGTCCACCCTGCCATACTTTCTGTGCAGTTTTAATTGGCGTTTGCTTTGAGCTTGTGGATTCCTTGCCGCAAAAGAAAGCCTTCCCTGTTTCTCTGAAAACTCTACATGCAATGCCAAACCTTGAAATGTTCCCCTCTCACTTGAGCTGGAGTCAGAGAGGTTACGAGCTGGCTCGGCTTCTCAACATCTCAGGAGGTTTGGCGTGCGCAGTGCGGTGCTGCCTGCAACATAATGCCAGCTCGTATCAAAAACCCTGCCACACTAAGCCTGATACCCCCAAATACCCCAAACTAAGTCCGAAGGTTGCCCGCAACACTCCGCAGACCCGACCCAGCTAAGAAAAATGCAGCGACCCTGTCACGCCAAGCTCCAGGCGGCGGCATGACACGGTTGAAGCATCTCCTGATGGTTTTGACTTGAGGTTCCAACCCGGGCCTACCGAAGTCTCCGGCGACACATTCCGTTGTGAGCCCACTGTAATCATGAAGATTTAGAGATGCCCTGCTCCCTTACACAGCACAGCGCTTCCTCGGCCTCTGAGACAGATCCGGGCCCTTCAGCGTAACACCACAGACTTGGGTTTCGAAGGCTTGAGCCCTAAACTCTGGAGGGGGCAGGGGCACGCCGAGCTCCTGCGACCCCGGGCTTTGGGTTGTTGAGGTCGCTGGAGTGTACCCGATGCTCCCAATCGCGCTGGCTTCAGCATTGATCTTAGGCGCAAAAGTAATCGGAATGCCAGGCATAGGCCACACCTGACAAGTTCGAAGCGCCGAAATGCAGAAAGGTACGGATTGGGCTGAAGGGCCTGAAAGGGGTTGCAGCCACGTTGCGACGAGCTCTGGCCCGAAGCTGAGAGTCAACGATGCCTCTGCGCTCGCCACCATCGCGACAGATTCCTGGCACTTCGGAGGGAAGCTGCAGTGGGAAGGGAACCCTAGGCAATTCTCCGCAGGCCTTGTGCGTGATGCGCCCGTTTGAAACTTCCACAGTGGCCTCGCCGTTCTTCTTGGCAGTGACCGTGGCGCTTATATCAAACTCTGCGTCGTGCGACATCTCGATGGTTCCGGTGAGGACACCCGATCCAACCAGTGTTGCAACCATCTGTAGAGAAAACAGGACGCCTCGGACATCTTCTGCAGCAGGCTTTCACACGCGCTGCGAGCAGCTATCGGCTTTATGCTTCGAATCCGGAGTGAGCTTTGGGGACACCTGCCTCGCCCCCTGCTGGAGGTATTGTACTGGCCCGGGATGCTGGAGCGGAAGGGTCCGTAAATGGTTTGCCTTCTATGTGAAGGTGACGAATAATAGTGTCCTGAATCCCATGCAATTAGATGCAGAGGCATGACCATCAAGTCGAGATGCAGAAAGGTGGGGCGCAAAACATCTTCGTCATGGGTTTCTTCGGCACGCCTGGATCACTGTCGCGCACCCTCTCGAAATCCATGTCACTTCTAGGGCGGGCTTCATGATGAATTGGAACCCGAGTCTCAACTCGACAACTTTTGGCCGGGAAGCCTTTTGTGAGCGTGTAGCTGCAGCTGCCCTGGCCCGTAACGATGATGTCCAGGGAGGCCCGAACTGATCCTGTGAGTGTGATCCTCAGCTGGCTTGACGGCCCCCGACTCACATAGAGTCACAGCCGGATTCGCGTCGTTAGTCTGTAGCCTCTCCTTCCGTGACTGCATCGGGCTATTCAATGCTTGTCTGCTTGAGTGTGACACCTCTCACCCTTAAAGTGGACAACGCCCCGAAGGTGACAGAAAGTACACTGCAGTGCTTGTGAGATCAAAGAACAAGAACACTCGGCCCAGGGGCGTTGTGTCGCCGTTATCCTCCACGATCGCTGTAACTTCTGGGCCCCGGCTCCATTGCGCGACACCGACGACGGCCACTGTCAGCTCGGTTTCGCACTCGGCTTCAATGGGTTCCTTCTCCTCCTGCAACTCCTTTGCTCAGGAACACCAAATATAAGATCCAACAAGCTTCCGGGCAAGGGCTGACCTTGCTGAGCTACAGTACTCACCAAGCCCTAGAATCGAATCCAGAATGGAACCAAAAAGTCGAGTCCTAAACCCAGGTCTCCTTCAGGGCCTCATCTCTGGTCATCAGGGCCTGATCGGCTGCCTCGCTGGCCTGTTCAATCTGGTTTCCAAACGTCATCGCACCACTGCCGTCGAACCCAAAGCCTTTTCGAAACTCGGACTGAGTCTGGAAGATGCACCGCATTTCCATGCGGTTGGAGTACAGCCTGACGTAGCTTCCCGCATCACAATCGCAGTCGTTCCCAATCAGCATGTGGCAAAGGTTGGCGGGCGTCATCAGACAGTCGAGGAACTTCTTCACCTCCTCTGCCAATTCCACTGCTCTGTCTGCGATGAAGTTCCCGACGGCTGTCGCGAGCTTGGCTCCTTCCTCGGCTGTCTTCTGCGCGTGCTCCAGCGTGGTTTTTGCGAGGTTGATTGATTGCTGGACGGCAATCTCTGCGGAGTCCTCTGCTATCGTGCCGAGGGTCGCGACATCCCTTCCGACTTGGTCTGCCAGATTTTGATCCATGTCCAATGTCAATCTCGGTGGTTCGATGACTCGATTCCCGACCACGATGGCGACGTTGCCCACCTTTTCGCCGACTGCCATGCCTGAACAGGTCATGCCTAGAGCACGCGGAGCCCGACATACCTTGAGCCATCTGCAAATCTGGTCAAAAGTTTCAGAATCACGGGAACACTGTCAAACCTCAGGTGCGACCGCGGCGCCTGCGTCAGTAAGCGAAGCGGCAACGCTTGCATAGGCGTCGACGATGCCACCGAACAACTTCGCCGACGCCACGGAGTCGAGTGACTCATCGAGATCTCCGACCGAGATATTGGCGTGCTCACGCACGGCGGTTCTGGAGGAACGGGCCAGCAATGCATTTTGGATTGCTGCGGACCCGTGAAAGTGCTCGGAATCTGCGGTATGCGTGTGCATGGTAGCTTCCGACACGGCGTTCGACTCCTGCGTTGCTGCGAACTTTCCACAAGTAAGTGAGGCACGAAACAGGATCGCTGCAAATTGATCCAACAACACTATCGCAAACTTCACAGCACGTACACCTCCCGTCAGTTTTGGTGCTGCAACACGAAAGCTGGCCTGCGCAAGCTTCATGGCAGCAGCCATAGGAGCAACCGTCCTTGGCAGCAGTGTTTCACACGCACGAATAATGAAAAAAGGAGGGGAATGGGGCCCCAAGCACATGCACTGCAAAGCCGTAATTGCCTGAACTAGATATCAACAACACTTCCCGAGCATGAGCATAAATGAGAACCTCCGGCCACCGACAAAGCTGAGTCCCACGCGCAAGTACAAGCCACGGAGATCGCACAGGCCATGACATTTGCTTCATTGGATGGAGGTGAAGAGAATTCACGGAGCTGGAAGATCAGGTATACCGATGTAAGGGCGGCAAACCTTTCCGGCAAAAACTGGCTGCGATGGCTCTGCCCGAAGCTCCAACAGCACTGGCATGTGCAATGGCAATGGCGTGACGAGAGTGATGACACGCTAAACTGCGACAGCTACAAGTACGCGGCTTCCGCGACATTAAGAAAACTGAAGACAAGAGAGGAAGCATTTGAATCGCCTCGGCGTTGGTACTGTGTCACGATCTGCTGTTTTGATTGCAAACCAGAAGCAAAGATGATCCAAAAGACAAAGCAAAGATGAAGGAAAGGTGAAAGATGGAAAAACGATGTTCGAGAAGCAAGCTCTACTCGGAAGCCTCGCAGGGAGATTTCAGATTGCAGCTATCCGCATCGAGCCGCATCGCCGCGGTGACACTTCTTCCTTCGACTTCTTGGCTCGGATCTCTTTCTGGACACCACTTCTGCCTCAGCTCCCTCTCGCCTCCCTATTTTGAGATCACGATTCCCTAGCGGAGCCCAGATCTAGATCCAATCCAGAAAGACCTCCGAGCTTCTTCTAAGCGACTTGGAAGACTCGGGCCCCTCTCAAGCATCGAAACTCTGCGGAAATCTACCGCAAGAGCCAACCAAAGCTCTTTGCACCCTGACAAGGATACAGCTAGACTGTAAAGTCTGCTTCCTGATCCGAAGACAGATCCCACATGCTTTCCGAACAGAACTTCCTCGAAGTGCTGCGGAGGCACTGTAATTCTCGGGGTGCTAAACATTTCTTGCACCAATGTCGTGGGAGAGGGGTCGGGAGGGCCTTGCCGCGCTTACGGGAAAGCCATTGTGTCTAGGCTAGGTCCAATAAAAGTAATTATAGTAATTATAGGAAATGTATTAATGATACAGTAAATTATAGCAATTATAGTCGCTGGCCGGTCTTAGCCAAGGGATAGGCAGAGCCTCACTCCGCTGGAAGACAGTGTCCCCGAGTTCCTGACAGAAGTGACTCAGATTTTCTCTGCAAGACTTGGCTTCACACAAGGGCCCTACGGGCCGAGTCCTTCAAACTCTTGTTTTTCCCGCCTCGCTTCGCCATGCGTCGAAATCCCACAGACCCAGACCCGCACAGAAGAAACAAAGCACCCCAACCCTTAGACACGTCCTGAGAGCACCAGGTTCGGCACTCCAGGTTGCACCGGCCTGAAAGAAACACAATCAAGGGGTTTCTTTGGGATTTGGGATTTAGGATGCTTTATGCTGACTGCAAGGGTTCTGCTTTGCATCTCCTGTCTCGGGCCCCCTTGTGCATATGATCTTGCAGGAGCTCGCCGCATCCTCGTGCATTTGAGACGTGGAGCCGGGGCTTCCGAGAACTGGGCAGAAACCCTGCTTGCCAGGCCTTCCGCCGAGCAAGAAGCGGCTCTAACAAGCTGCGAACCTTGGCGGGCCGCTGGTTCAGAGGCACAGTTGACCCGCGGCTTCTTTGTTCGGTTGCCAGCCACGCCTAACAGCCTACACAGCTCAAAGGCACATCTCATCACACCCTTCACTCCGTAGTTCTGCTCAACAGCCAGCATAGAGAGTGAACGCTGACATTTGTGCCGAACCTTCGGCCTTGTCATTTCGGACTCAAGCGGTTGTGTACAGTCTTTGCTTCTAAATTGCAAAATCAAGACTGTCGTCATGCGAGAATCCTCGCGAATGGCGATTGCAGGCGCAACAACCGAAGGCGCGGCTGTGGTTGACGTCGGCGACAGGTACGCGCCGGGCAGTACGGCCTGTAAGTGCCACTCAACAGAACAAACTAGAAACGAGAAACCTACGCCACTGCTACAGTCGCTTCGGGCTGCGGCTCTTCGAAACCAGCGAGCCTGCACTGGCTCCCCGGGATCTTTGGCGCCAGCCACGGCCAACTTGAAGACTTGCCTGGATATGCAGGAAAGGGAGTGAGCGAACATGTACTACAGCTACTACCTGCTCTAGTATGAGACTCCAAATGGCTAACAGCACACAACGGTGGAGCCCCTGCTGCAAGTATATGTTGGTTAGAACATCTTGCCGCTGCCAGGAAACATCCTTCCAGGCTGCTGAGGGTTGCCGCCGCTAGGCAAAGGAATTTGCAGTTGCCTCTCTGTCACTCAGGTGCCTTGGAAGGACATGATGCCGATGATGAGGCAAGCCCGAATTTTGCCGAAAAAGAACAGTAGCACGTACAAGTAGCAAGTAGCTAAAAGCAGCTGTCTTGTAAGACTCGGCGCTTCTCCGGTTCCGGCCTCACCACGGTCAGGCTGATGCTGCTCTTGGCTGTCTTCTTATCCAGACCTGGTGAGGTGCCGAGCTTTCAGACGGCCCAAACCCTACCCATGCCCTGAAACCCTTAAAGAACGAACTGAACCCCTGTGATGGACTGGAGACAACGCAACCGCAGAAAAAGATGAAGAACATAATCTGAGACCGACCTCAGGACCTAGACCCCCTAAACCGAAACCCCAGACCCTGAAACCCTAAACCCTAAAACCCTAGATTTAAATTCGACATTTCTGAGCCTATAGACTCCAAAACTCAAGACCCTATCCGGCCTGAAGACAGGCCATTCCAATATCCCTCCCTTGCCGTCGGCTCGGGCTCCTCGCGACATGCCCCGGGTTTCGGGCTTTGGGTTTAGAGGTCTTTTTGGGGTTTATGAGCCTTCTTGGGTTTAGCGCCGTTTAGGGTTTAGGCTCGGGTTGGACAGGAGGCTTCGTGGGAACATAAACACCATGTGGTTGCGAACCATACTTCACAAGGCTGCTCGCGCCCAGGTGATTTGGACTACTTATTTGCTGGCTGAAGCCGACGGCAGCCACACGTGCAAAGGTCTTCCCTTCCTTGCACAGGCCCTTCGCTTCAAGCCGCCTGTTGCCCCGGCGCTGAGGGGCCTGAGAACCAAGGCTTGACCTAAACTCCAAAAAGTCTCCTCTGGCCAGGGATCGATTGCCGGCCTCAATGCTACGCTCGCTGGAGGGCCGGGGTGTCCACTGAATTTTCAAGCACCTCTCAATAAGTTCCAGAATTAGCATGGTGCAGTTCTGCAGACCTTTGACGATCATGTCTTGGGGACAGTAACAGCCAGCAATGCTGCTGCTTCTCAGTGTAAGCACATGACATCAACGGAAGACAAAATGCATTGCGTGCAACTGCCACTTCATGCAGGAGACATATGTTAGATCCTTTATGACAGTTCTCCTTGATGCAAGCACGCTCACTTTTCCCATCAAAGTTGCTTCATGAAATTTCGGGTGTTCAAGAGAAGCATATAGAAGCATGCAGTGCGAACGCATGACCCTCGCGCGGGAGTTTGAGTAGATCAATGGAGCTGCAATGGGTATTGTGTCTTCGGACGGATTGTTCTGCAATGCATGTCACTACTTGGGGACATCTTCACACTGCTTCGTTTTTTAGAATTGTGCAGGAAGCCCCATGTCACGACGGATCCATCAGCCTCCATAGCAGCGAAGGATGTCTCAAGTGGCTTCAATCGGCCGCACATGCGTCAGCTGTTCTCGAGCAGCACTGCTGCTTTCAAGAGCCAAGCCCTGCCACTGAATCCCAGAGGGCTTTGGGCACAAAGCATCAGCTATTCCACGGAGTCATATGGATTCGTGCTCAATGAGTGCTCAATGCACTACCGCCGCTTGACCGGGAAGGTTTCACGTTTTCGTGCAAACATAGCTTTCGACACCATCATCCTCCATCACCATCACCCTCAACATCACCAGCACCCTAAACCCTAAACCCTAAAGCCCTCAACCGCACTCCGGCACCGTCCCTGGAGTCTGGACAGCACCCGGCGGCCCGAGACTCCCGGCCACTGCAGGCTGACGGCAGGTAGGTCGTGGGCCGTCCGCAGCCTCGCAAAACTCGTTTGAAGGCCCCCCCTTCTTTTTTTTTTTTTTTTNNGGGGGGGGGGGGGGGGGTTCCGTCTGCCTGAGCGTCGTCGAGGTTTCGGGATTTTGGGGGGTTGAGGGTTCTGGAATGTTCGGGTTTCGAGTTTCAGGGTTTTTCGACTTGGAGGGTTTTAAAGTTGTTAAGCTTTGGGATTCTGTCGGGCTGTCGGGCTATAGAATGACCTCGGGCTACTGGAGTTTACTGTATAATGGTACAGTATAAGGTCATCGTATATTCATATGTATTCTAGTATCTAGTAACAGTGTGTAACAGTGTAGTATATAGTATATAGTATATAATATAGTATAGTATAGTATAGTATAGTATAGTATGGTATAGTATAGTATGGTATATTATTGCAGAGTGCGGAGCCTCGCCAGCTCGTCGAGGTAGCCACTGGCAGCAGCGTAGTTGGCCTGAGGCTTACAGGCAGTTTCGGGGTTTAGGGTTTCGGGGTTTAGGGTTTAGGGTTTCGGGAGGGGGGGGGGAGGGGGGTAGGTTCCTTTAATTCAGTTTTCGCTGGGCTTCAGGTCTTAAGGGTGTAAGTGGTTTAAGGCCTTTGGGCACTGTGGAGGTTAACGAGGCACGAGGCTTCGGGCTTACACGGCCCATAAGGTGAAGTGTTTCAGGCGTGTTTCCTTAGATGCATTGGGCCTTTTGCTTTGTTGGGGTAGGGGGATCGGGCAATCCTGCATGTGTAGACACCGTATATGTTTGCGGAGAGTAAAGGCGTTTCGGAAACATGGATACTCGAGTGGCGAAGGGCCATAGACTCCACCAGCAACGTTGAGAAGCAAACTTCTGAAACCATGTTTCAGGGATCTGGTTGGAAGCCACGCCTACCCAGGCTTAGGATTGTGGTTGCGGTTTGAAGCTCACGAAGCCACCCTAAACCCAAGCTCCTAAGCCAAAAGCCCCAATATGAAACCCTAGCCCCTTATCCTAAACCCCTTAAGCTCCACACACCTGAAGCCCCTCCCTCAACCCTAAAGCGCCTGTCCCCGGCTGCCGAAGAGTGCGGCTACGGAGGAGCAGAGCACGAAGGCGTGCAGCCTGTCTCCCATTGTGTGGCCTCGATCGGATCCACTCTGTGAAGGCTCAACCCTTTATGAGTAGAATAAGGCTGAGGGACTAAATGCATTGTAACAGTAACAATAAGTCAGCAGTAATGGTAGCAACAAGAATAATAAGAATACCAGGCAAATCAGTTATTTAGTCATATGTGGTGTATAAATGTATGGTAAAATACATGCTTAAACACACACATACAGAGATACATACATATATCTATATGTATATACACACATACATATACATGTGCAGAGACTCTAAGTAATGCTATAGCTATATAGCTACCGTGCTTGTAGACCTTCCAGACTTTCCGGGCTTCGAGGTTGCGGATTTCGGATTTCGGGCCCGCTCAAAACCGCTCTAAACCCTTAAACCCAAAACGCCTAACCCCGATACCCTCGGGTTTAGGGTTTAGGGCTACCCCCGATACCCTACATAACCACACCACCCCCAGAGCAACTGACCCCAAACGCCCTGATGACTCCCAGAATCCCACACATCCAACCCCGAAGCCCTAAACCTCAAACCCTAAACTCTAAAACCCTAAACCCTAAACCTTAAACCCTAAACCCTATAAACCTTAAACCCGAAACCCGAAAATCCCCAAGGCTCCAGAAAAACCCACCGGGCGCCAGAGCGGTGCAAGTGCCAAGCCCCCAGAGCTTTGGGCTCGAAGACCTCCGGGGAAGCTCCGAGGCTCGGAGGCTTTTTTTTAGGATCTAAGGTATAGGGTTATAGGGCTTAGGTTTAGGGTTTTAATGTCCAGGGCCTATAGGGTTTGAGGTTTAGGGTTTAGGGTTCAGTGGGAGGGGTGTGTCTTTGTTGGGGGTTTTAGCTGGTGAGGTTGACTTGTTGCTGTTTTTTCTTCGTTTTAGTTTCTGATTGAGGATCCTGCTTTGGAAAGACGTGGCTTGGATCGCACACGCATACACTCTTCTTTTCTTTCCTTCTTCTTGGCTACTCGGTCTTAGGTTTAATCTGGGTCTAAGGGGTTTAGGGGCGGAGGGCTTGAAGGTTTAAAGCGTCGGTGGCGTTCCGAAAAGCTTAGGGTTGGGGTCTGTGGTTGAGCGGCGTTCAGGGTTCGGGCTTTAACTGGGGGTTTCTGGCTGGGGTCTAGCTCTATTATATATTATATATTACATATATTATATATTATATATTAGATATTAGATATAGCGTTAGGACTTCTTATGGTCTGGCAAGCACTCCCTGTACCTTCCGGAAGGAATCTGCATCCTGGTCGTAGATGGACCGGTCCTCTCGGTTCGCACAGTGTTCAGGGATCTCTGAAAACTTCAAGCCTTCACTAATCAAATGCCCACGCACATACACACGGGCGCGTATTCAAAGGGCCTCTACATCCCAAGATTGATACATCCCGAAAACTGGACTTGAATCTGAAACTTATTCCCCCGCACGCCACAGAAACGACGCCATCAAGCACATACGACACGCGCAATGTCGAGTTGCCTACTTCCTGAACTCGACACAATATCCACAACCCACTGCGAGCCCATCCCATCAGAGCGGCTGCAACGTACCACACTCCAGAACATGTTTCCCCTGAAATACCTCTACTTCCTGCCACTGCTATTTACAAAAACTATAATTAAGTAGGGATGCGACTACTACAGCAATGTCTTGGCGAAATGCTTCTGTCGCCATCTCCCAACAGACTCCTCTATCAGACCGCTGGCATGTACGACGACCCGGAGGGGGCCGTGCGTGTCCTGGATCCCTCGGACGAATGTTGGGTGCGGTTTGGGCTTTGGGGGTTGCAGGTTTGGAGCTCCAGGGCCTGGGGTTGAGTAGGGTGCTGAGCGTGGGAGTCAGGGTTTCGGAATAAGGGCACATGGGCTCGATTTTCAGGTAATTGGGGGCGCTACACTGCCACTGAAAGGTACCCCGATGAACGAGTGATTGCTTGCGTAATCCGGTGAAGACATGGGGAGCAATACTTCGCCGAGTCAGTATTTGGTTCAACAGCAAGCTGCAGAGACATGACTGAAGAATTGCTTATCTGATACATTTGGTACCGCAACACTGGCAGCTAGTCTGACAGGCTGGTGCAACCAGTGGTCTCAGTACCCGACGTTCCAGTAACGCGAGAACGCTGGACCTTCGAAGGGGCGGATAGGCAAAGTCCGTCAAGGGCACTGGCCCAGGATTTGTTGGTGGACTTGTTTCTGATTCTGTGTCGGCAGAGCCTAGACTAGCAGACCCGCCCATGTGCTTAGACTTTCAGGAGCCTCATGATCGAATTCCCTCGTGCCAAGAACACACCGCCTGAAATTGGATCCAGGGGCCTCCTCAACCAAAGGTCACAAGTCTCGAAACCCCTGCGGCTCTCCGGGCGCAGCTGACTGAGGAGCGCGACTCCTCCGCAACGTCGCAGGCTTCCACCACAACATTCACACCCGATGAGCGGAGCGCCTAAGCGGAGGACCAGGCGAAGCTCACGTGGTGCAAGTAAGAAACGACGTAGGGGTATGGGAGCAGATACGGCTGTAGCATGCACGCCAGTGACCCCACAAGCGCCTAAATCCTGGGGAAATTACTGCCCAATGACGATGAGCTCCAAGCGCCAGTGTATCCGGAGGTTCCCCACAATCCGCCTCCTCTGCGCTAAAACCTCGAAAGGTCAACCTGCAAACGGGTAGCCTTGGCGCCCGAATAAGGCGTGGAATTCAAGCCGAAACCTTAATTGACCTTTTAACTATAAGTCCTAGACATGGTCCCAAACCCTGAACCGAAAAGTGGGGTTTAGCCAAGCCCGCAAAGCCGGGAGCAAAAGTGGCCCGGCCTCCATTCGCTCCTCTGTTCCCTGAGCGGCAGGCACCTTCATGCCCGGAGATCGATGATTCCGGATTCAGGTTGGGGTTTACGACGATTTCGATTTGTTATTGAGATCGGTTACCAACCCACAGACTCCGGTGAGAGGAACTCACTTCTCCCAACCCCGAGGGCCCAACGTCCCACTACGATCCCGTGGCCAGCCTTCTTAATGTCCAAAGCTTGAATTCGGCTCCGTTGAATTCGGGTCAAGGGCTTCGGCTGTCGAGTGGTTGTACCATTCAAGCAGGGAAACCACAAGCAGCCCGTGAGAACTCACAGACAACCGCTCCGCAACTAAACCACCACACAAATAGGCAAACACAACCCACGCCGTACACAACCGTAAACCGTCATCGCACCCGCAACCTGGCTACACAGGCTTACATCACGACCCTATAAACCCTGCGCCCCAGATCCAAAATCTCTAAAGTCCCAACCATGCCGCCCCTTTACAACCCTAAACCCTGAGCCACCAACGAACTCCGCCAAACAAACCGAACCAGTACCCTAAGCCCCAACCGACACAGCACGCCGATGCCTGCCCGGTCCGTGAAGTGAGCACAAGTCGGCGGAGCCCCAGCTCGGCCTCGGCTTGGTGAACATTTACAAATCAAAACACGAGTCAGAAGAGGAAGAAGAAGAGTCGTAGTAGTAATCATTACTGTATCTCCATCACCATCATCATCACCACCATCATCACCAAATCGTCATAACAACAAGTAACACTAGCAAAAACAACGCGGCATTGGCTATAACTAATACTAACACTATGAATGGCTAGCTATAGCTATAACAGTCACAACAATGACAACTATAGCATGAAGCATATCAGCAGCGATCACAAAACCAAAATCACAACCACAATGACAGTGATAAGAACAGTCGCATTAGCAATAACAGTCGTCATAGCCATACTCATCACCATCGTAGCAATTATCGTGAATAACCAGCATGATAACAATAACATTTCCCGAAATCACAATACGAACAACAAGTGTTTTTTTTAATGATAAGAACAGCAAGACTAAATAAGTGCCTTGAGGGTGCTCCTGGCGTAGTTCTTGGGAGTCTAGGGTTTGGAATGCCAGTTCAAGTTGGCGTCTACGAAGGCATCATGGGGTGTGTGTAAACGGTTTTCGAAACAATTTGACAGGTTTCGGGTTTGAGCGGCGTTTAGGCGGGTTGAGGGTTTCTGAGAGCCTTCGGATTTTGTACCTGGCTTCTACATTCGGTCCAGATTTGCAAAGGTTTGTTAAGGTTGGAGGCGGAGGTTAAACGGTTAGGCCCTGTCGGGTTTTGCGTGAGGTTTAGGACTTGCAGAGGATGTGTAGCCGTGACAGAAAGGACTGGAAGAAGAGTTAAGGCATACAGTGTTCTTGCAGTCTTGCACTTACGTCACTAAATAAAACCTCCACGTGACCACCATCACCACCACCAAAATCATCATCGTAGTCATCATCATCATCATCATCAACACCGTTATCAAAATAATCATCATAGTCATCACCACCATAATCACCACCGCCACCAGCAGTACCAACATTAACCCCACCTTGTCCCCGGCTTTGGCATTGAGCACAGGCATCGCGGTGGAAAGGCGGGAAATGGAGCAGAGCAACCTGACCCCAACCCTAATCCCTGAGCCCTAAGCCACCACCCCCATGCACAAAGCCTCATCCCGAAACCCTGATCCCTACCTGTAGTCTCCACAGTAGTTCCTTTTTCTGTTGGCCCATTGAATGGTTGGGATCCCAGAAAAATAAAACCCGGGGACCACTACAAGGAACTATAGAAACGGAGACGATCAGGGCTAGGATCCGGGAAGGGCAAACAAGCTAACCCAACATAGGGAACTGCACAAGAGACCACAAGCAATCCCGGAACCCTGAAGCTCAAACCCGCCTAGCCCGTCTAGAGCTCTTAGATCTCTTCTTATGTGTCCGAAAATCATCTGAACACTTCCAGCACTCTTAGCTCCATACCATGGCTTCTGCCGCAGCCAAACCGATTCCACCGACACCACCTCAAACAGGGTTTAGGGTTTGAGGCGTGGAGTTGAGAATCTGAGGGCGTAGGGTTCAGACCAAAAGTTCGAGGGTTTAGGGGAGTGGAGTGTAGCGGGATTTAGAACGAATCGACATTCTCTGGCTCCACAGGTCTTGGCAATAGGATTTCAGAAGCTTGCACCTTTGAGGACTCGGAGTCTGCGAAACCAAAAGCCCAGGCGTTCTTGAAGGGGTTCTGTGCTTTTGGCTTCAGTGTTCTGAATTCCTTACCTCCCTGCGTTCGCTTTGTTGCGACCTAAAGTTTCACGGTCTAGGTTGTGATACAGACGGGTGCTTCCAAAAGCATGCTACCGCATTTACTTTCGTTGATCTGGCGATTCTGCATGCCTAACTAAGCGGCCTTTCATCACAGGTCGTCCATGCTCTGCAGCACGACACATAGGCCATAGGCTTCAACACAGCGAATCTTTGGGCATGCCCGTGTGTCCCCCAGAGAAAACATATTACTATCCCGAGCCGTGCTAAAGTGCCAGCCTGCAACTTGTTATTCCAACGACGATGTACATGAGCTAGACCTAATTTTGGAGTTCTCCTCGATGCACACACTTCCCCCTTTTAAACTTGCAACGAGTTTCATGTGGCGTCGGCTGTTCAAGCGAAATTGGATGCATGTGCGGTGCAACGCATCTGCAGTGAGACCAGCAGAGCTTTATCGCGTAATGCATACGATGTTGAGGTCGGAAGATATACTTTCATGCAACCCCACGCAAAAAAAAAAAAAAAACTATTCTTTGCAAAGGCCCCTATGTCATTTGTCCAAGGAAGTTGGCTTCGGTGTTGTTTCGTTCAAAAAAAAAGGCGCAAGCAGCAGCACTGGCCTGTGATTAATGCCACGCCGGTCTCGATCACGAACTGGGGAAGTGGAGAAAGCACCTTGCCGACGTAACTTAGAGTTTCAGACAAGGAACCCCCCCCCCAAAGATTGGCATGGCTCAAAGAATCTTGAACCTTGAAGGCTGAGGCCCTCAGCTGGCTAAGAGCATACCGAACGCAGCACCAGACCCGTCAACCCCGAAAAAATTAACCGCATCTGCAGGAGCCCAGCTTCGACTTCAGATGTCTTGTTCCTAGTTTCTGTGTCCAACGTCGTCCAAGAATTGTGCGGGCTCTTCGACCCTCTCGTGGTGCCCGCCAGGCCTGTGGGGAAGATCATCCTAAGCCTCCCCAGACACCCGCCTTGCCCAACCCCAAAGCCAGTCCGGCTGAGCTCGTGGCCCGACCTGCGTAGATGGGCATTTTCGGACTCATGTCCAGCCTGCTTGAGCAGGGGCTTGGAGTGACCACCCTTAAACGTTAAGACTGTTAAGAGGCTCTCTAGTGCAGCCCCAAGTCCGCAAGACTACTGCAAGGCGGGGTCTACAAGCAGCTCAATGCCCAAGCTTTCCGCAAACTGCCTGGGCAGCCACCGGCGTCCCTGTCTGTAGGCCACGTCCTTGCGGCTGGCAAACCGAAAGGCCGGAGAATTGCAAGGCGCACCTTGCAGCTGTTCCACAATCTCAGCAATAATATGCAGCCATCATTGCAAGACGAAATTTGGCGAGATAGGGTGGCCTGCGATTGCTCAACCTGCAGCCCAATGCCCACGCAGCCCTGGTTGACACATGCCCAGATTCTACTACCCTCCACCCGAACCCAAAAGCTCCGAAACCCGAAACCCAAGGCCCACCAAGCCCCTTCAGCCGAAACGCTCAACCCTCCACCCTCAACCTCAAACCCTCAACCCTCAACCCCCCACACCCCAAATCGTAAAACCCTAAACCCCTGAGCCTGCACTCCACTCCCAAGCCCCAGCGGGTCCCGGTTATGCGCGAGAAGGAGCTGAGCCCGCTCGATGTCGTTCAGCAGCTGGGGCCCTGCCAGGAAGGGGCCGTATAATATAGGGGCGTCAAAGATTAGAACAGTTTCGGGGATGTTTTACATAGGGTCTACTATACTAAGAGTATCAAACTGTTACGACCCCGAAACGAGGGTTCAAGGGATGTCGGATTGAAGGTCTCACAGGACCGCTCGGATTTCCGAAGTTTCGAGGATCGTTACCGCCGATGTTCATTATTAGGGACGCCCTGAACCCAAGGCTCATCTCAAGCACGGAACCGCTTGGCCTGTAGGTATCAGGGGCGCAAAGCCTTGAAAGATCGACGGACCGAGCATGCACGAGAGCCTTTTCTGCTGCTGCATATCTGCCGCCATCATTTGGGCACAATCCTGATGGGTAGCTGTCTCTTTAACCGCAAAAACCCTTAAAGAACACCCCGTCTTCGGCTTCGGCAGTTCGACCTTCCTGGCTTCCATCCCGACACCTCGAGGTGCTCATCTCACACTAGGATGCTCGTCAATGGCTCCCACGAAAGGGACCTTAAGAACGAGATTGTTATATGAAGGAACTCTGAAAAGCTTGTAATCATTCCGACTCCTAGAGTACCAATCCATGACTCACATGAAGTGAGGAGCCAATCTCTTCCGGCCTCCTGCGGGAAAAGCCCAGCCGATCTCGTACATGAGCTGCTCCTCTCTGCAATGCAACTAGAAGCCCACCAAGCAAGGACGGTGCCCTTTGCTTCCTAACTTGACTTTCTCTCCTTGTAAGCTTTCTCGACCTAGGCCCTGAGCATGTCGTTCGAAGATTCCATGATTCTCTTAATCCGGAGCCACTCATTTTTCGAGTTCACGGTTTCACTTTGGAAACATAGTGGACTTGGCTTTCGGCTCAGCTGGACCACCAGACAGCTAAAACGCGCCCCAAGCTTAACGAATTACCCGTTCATGTCACACTTCCGAGGACCCCGACAAGATGATTGTTTAAGTGTCCGGTTGCTCAGTTCAAAGAGACCTGCACCCCCCCATCTGAATGAGCAGTCTTTAGATCTAAGGTCTTCCCTAGAAAACTCAGGGATACGGGTTCGGTGTCGTTTTGGGTTTGAGGCTCATAGTTCCATGGGATTTC